AGGCGGGAGGGGGGCAAATATGGAGCTCCCCAGCTAGGGGTGCCCCAGCCTCCCTCCTTCCCCCACACACCTTCCCCCACTACCCTCCCCCGCACCGGGCCGGAGGTTGGGACACCGACCACGGGAAACCATCCGGCCTTACACAACCCCCTGGTTTTGGGAGGGAGGGTGGGGTGCACTGAACCCAGGCATCTGTGACAGCTCTCTCACAGCACACAACCCAGCTTCTGCAGGACCCAGGAGTCTGGGTCTGGTCTCACACTCCAGGGAGGGAATCCTGGTGTCTGAGATACAATTGTTCCAAAGGAAAGAATAGGACCCAGGCATCCGGGACAGGGTTGGTCACTAGCGCCAAGTCTGGGGGGCCATGGCTGAGCATACAGGACCCACTCTGCAGTGATGCCCCATCACAACAGTGAGCAACAGGGATATCCTTGCATGAGGAACAATAGCGAGCAGGCAATAGTGAACACGACAGAGGCACTGTGCTCAGGAAGCAGTCGTGTCCTGAAAGCACAAGTGAGCAGCATGCAACAGGCATGAGTGCAGAGCGAGCGTGCCATGGAGCCATGGTGAACAAGAGTGAATAGGGCAGGGCAATTGTGAGCACAGAACAAACCACGAGGAAGCTGCAGATGCATGCATCACAACAGTCATGAGCGCAGGAGAGCACCAGCACCAACAGTTTTCATTATGGGATAATGATACAACACAACCGTCGTGAATAGTGAGGTGTTCAGAAGAAGAGTACCACACCACAATAGAGAAAAGCAAATAGCTAGGGCATGATTATGGTCACAGACTAACTGTGCCACACACAAGTGAACAGTAGATAAGTGAGAGAGAACAATGGGGCCACTTGATAGTGAACAGCAAGTGCTGGGACACGGTAATAGCGATCAGAGAATAATAATGCCACCCCACCTATAGTGAATGATGGGGACAGGATTCTGGTCAATTAACAGTGCCATAGCAGAGAAGCATGACACAACAGTGGTGCTCAGAGAATAACATAGCCACGTAATAGTGAACAGCAAAAGCTAGGGCATGTCAATGGTGATGACAGAACAAGATCACCACTCACCAACAGTGAAGAGTCAATGATTGTGACCACAGCAGAAAAGCGTGACCCCATGATGGCAACTGGATAATGGGGCCACCCACTAGTGAACAATGAGAGCTGGGACACGCCAACAGCAATAGGAGAATCACAGTGCCACACAAGAACACACACCAAGTCACTGTTGTGCAGAATGGTTTCATCGTGGGATAATGGTGCAATGCAACAGTAGTAAACGGTGAAGAATGGATGCAGCCGTGATGAGCCCAGAATAGCGATGGCAATAGTGAACAGGGGATCATTGCACAGTGGTGTTCAGCATCATACTGCCACGTGATAGTGAACAGGGAGTTGGTGACACCACGATGGCAATCGTGGCATAAAACTGTGCCATGCAATGGTGAACAGGCAGGAAGCAGAGGCAGGATGGCACCTTGGAGACCAACTGGCGCAGATCTTCATGAGCTTTCAAAGGCCACAGGAAGTGAACAGTGCATGGGTAATGACATCACAACAGTGATCCCAGTGTGAAGGAGTCCGGGACAGCAGAATCACAACAGTGACAGCAGCACGACAGCGCCACTCAGTAGTGACATCATGGGGGAGGTCACAGCAATGGTACCACACAAAAGTGAACAGGAAATGACATCACACCAGTGATCATAGCATGACAGTGCCAGGCAATAGCGAACGGGAAATGTGTCATGCAGTGGTGATCGCAGCACAGTCATGCCACTCCATCATAGGCAGGGAACTCGGGACACCTCCGCATCACCGTGCCACACAGTGGCGCATGGGGAATGACAACACAATGGTAGCCGCAGCTTGACAGTCCCATGTAATAGTGAGCAGGGAATCAGTGACGCCACCATGGCAATCACGGCATGATGGTGCCATGCACAAGTGAAGAAAGAGTGACATCACAGTAGCGATCACGGCATGATGGTGCCATACAAGGGGCGATATCGCAGCAGTGATTGTAGCACCATGCACTAGTGCCCGAGAAGTGACATCGCAGCGGCAACAGCAGCACGCTGGTGTCCCGTGCCGGCATCAGGCCAGCCCTTTGGGCAGCCCGGCAGCCTCGGGCAGCTGACGGAAGAGGGCACGCAGCGTGTCGAGCTCCTGGCCCAGCTGGGCCACACGTGCCTGGAGCTGCTCGTTCTCAGCAGCCAGCTCCAGCACGCGGCGCTGTGTCTCCAGCACGCGGCGCTTGGCCTTGTCGCGGCTCTTGCGCACGGCAATGTTGTTGCGCTCACGCCGCAGCCGGTATTCCAGGCTGTCCTTGTTCACTGCCTTCTTGCCCCGGGGGCCTGGCACTGGGGCTGCGGAGGGCAGCAGGGCACTGCCGGGGGGGCCCTGCCAGGAAAAAAGCCATGGGGCATGGGGATGAGGGCTCAACATGGGGAATGGGGGGAAACGGGGGGGGGGACGACGACACAGGTGGGGAGACAGGCCAGGAGGCAGGTCAAGGGCACCATGCATGGGGGCAGGTCAGGAGCACTGGTGGGGTGGGGCAGGCTACAGGGAGGCTAGGGAAAATGGGGAGGGGCACTGGGGCCCCATATGTGGGGAGCGGGGAAGGATCAAGGGCAGGTCAGGGGTGAGCTAAGGACACTGTTGGGTGGAGCAGGCCAGGGGTGGGCTAGGGTTACCATGGAGGTCATGGGGGAGCAGGAGACCTACAGGGGGTTAGGCAGTAGGGGGCAGGGGTGGGCAGGAGACTCAAGGGAGGGTGGGTCTGGGGCACTATGGTGGGGATAGGCCAGGGATACAGTAAGAGGGGAGACACAGGAGGTCTATGAGGGTGACAGGGGCATCAAAAGTGGGGATGGGTCTGGGGGATGGTGAGGGGGCTCAGAGACCCATAGAGGGGGGCACGGGTACCATGGGGAGGAATGAGATGGGCACTGTGGGGATGGCAGAGCAGATGGGCACAGGGCCCCTTACCTTCAGGGCACGCAGGGCAGGCATAGGGCCAGTGGGTGGAAGGCTGAGAGCGCTGTGCCCGCAGGGTGGGGGGCCACGCCGGGGAGGCTCCTCCTTGCCAGCTGCACTGTAAGGCCGGGCCCAGGCCTCGTAGGGGGCGAAGGAGGCACTTTTGGGGGCACGGGGCGGGGGCGCTTGCAGCAGCTCTGCCAGGAGCTGTTCGTCGCCCAGGTAGGCAGCCAGGTCCAGTGAGGCCTCATGCTCGGACAGGCCGGGGTGTATGGGCAGGCGTGGGGGGGGCCCGGGGCCCGACTCCGGGGCCCCC